AAAAAAAAAATTCCCAATGCCGAAGAAAAGGCTTCTAGAAGCTCGCGTGCCTCTCTAAACATAGTCTTCGCGCGCGTATTGACAAAAAGCCTTTTACCAAAATTTCCTTGTTCTGGCCCTCACGCCACCCCACGCCAACCCGTCCTCCATCGTGGCGGATCGATCCATTCTTCAAGGTAAGGCAATCAAAAACTAAAACACCAAACTATCTTCTTCATCAATTCATCACTATCAACACCATGGAAAAAGTTAATTTTAGAACCCAAATTTTAAACGGCCACCTCCAAAACCACCGCCACGCAACCTCCACCGCCGCCATAATTTCCGCCTCACCATGCGTCAGCTACGTGCCGCCGGAAGTTTCCGAACAACCCTTTTCGTTCGACGTGAGTTCAATGAGGAAACTGATGGATGGGCACAACTTGGGTGAAAGGGACTGGCTTTTCAACCTCATGGTACAGAGCAAGCTTTTCAATCCCAGGCTTAGAGGTGGCAAAGTATTTGTGGTGCCAGATTATAATCACTCCATGGAGCAGCAGAGAGAGATCACTATGAAGAGAATTGAGTATTTACTGGATCATGGAGTATTTAAGGGGTGGTTGACTGGTAAAGGCCCTGAAGCTGAGATGAAAAAGTTTGCTCTTTTGGAGGTTATTGAGATTTTTGATCACTCTCTTGCAATCAAGATTGGAGTGCACTTCTTTTTGTGGTATGTTTGATATTTTCTGGTGGTTTCTTTGCGGTTTATAAATGTCATTTGATGGATTTTTCAATGTATGTCATAGTTTTTAAATTGGGAAAATGTACAACTATGACAGCTTAAGGTACTTGCATTCTGAAGCTGTATTTATACTTGTAGCATACGCTTCTCAGTTTACTTTACTTGCATTTATGAATTTGTGAAAATTCTCAATATTGGGTTTTGCTTGATAAATTGGTATTCCTTCATATAAAGAAAGAGGCATCATCTGGATCTTGAATTCTCCATGGTGGAGCAAATAGTAGGGATGACTAGTAAAATTATTTTCGTTTGGCACAAATTTGGAAATTTTTACCACGTGTGTATATCTAAAATATCATCTTTTAATAGAACTTGTATTCAATATGTGTATGGTTGAGTTTCAGAGTCGCCTTTGTGTGTGCATCTGAAACTAGTTGGAGTGGAGTTCTCTTACATTGTGCTTTAAGTTATTCAAATAAATAGCATTTTAACTGCTTCATTGTTGACGATTCGAGGGGTGGTGCCATCCAGTTTTTTGGCACAAAGCGACATCACGATAGGTGGTTGAGTGCGACAGAAAATTACTTGATTAAAGGATGCTTTGCCATGACAGAATTGGGGCATGGAAGCAATGTATGTAAAGACCGTTCAATTGATTAGCACCAGCCATATAGCTTGTCAACAGAATTATCCTCTATTTCTTATTATTGAAGCATTTTGAGTCAATGTTTTCAGGTTCGAGGCATTGAAACAACTGCAACTTATGAGGCAAACACAGGAGAGTTTGTAATCAACACTCCATGTGAAACAGCTCAAAAGTACTGGATTGGTGGTGCAGCTAATGTAATCATTCCGTCCGTCTAGTGATTTCCAGACATTTTGGCACATTTACTTTTTTTTTTTTTTTTTCACTTTATTATTCTTGACTTCATCTTCTCACCATCATCTGAAAACACTAATATGCTCTCCCTTAAATGTCTTGTAGCATGCAACGCATACAATAGTTTTTTCTCAGCTCAATATTGATGGAAACAATCAAGGTGTCCATGCTTTTATCACCCAGATCAGAGATGAAAATGGGAACGTCTGTCCCAATATTCGGATTGCTGATTGTGGTCATAAGATTGGTTTAAATGGCGTTGACAATGGTCGAATCTGGTATAAATGAATCTCTTTTGTGGCTATGCCGACCATAAATTTTCTATTATTTGGTAAATGAGTGTGATCTGATGGCTTTATGATTTTAAATTTTCCAGGTTTGACAATGTTCGCATTCCTAGAGAAAATTTATTGAACTCAGTTGCTGATGTTTCCCCAGATGGAAAATATTTGAGTGCAATAAAGGATCCAGACCAGGTATGATGCTTCTTTATTTAACTGACCTAGGTAAAATAGCCATGATTTAATGGTGTCATCACCTCACATTTATGATTTTGCTTTATCAAGGGGCATATGCTTTTTTCTCTTGCTAAATTGTCTTTTTCAACTGTTCTTTTGTCCTGGTGATAACTACTTACACAATGAGCACTAATTCATCCTTGATCAATAAACCTAATGAGAAGAAGACGGAAGTGATCTACCATATTTGTTGAGATATGTGTTGAAGCAAACTTATTCACATCTTTTACGAATTGTTTTCTAGCCCGCTTCCTTTCAATCAATTCTACATTAACTCTCTTGTTGGTGGAATTTCACACGCATTGATTTTTCTTCAGAGATTTGCTGCATTCCTGGCTCCTTTGACATCTGGACGAGTAACTATTGCAGCTAGTGCAGTGTACTCAGCAAAGGTGATAAGTATTGCCTTTACACTTTTCCCTATAATTTCAGGAGAGTTAATATCAAGCTACTATTGCTCAATTCTTCACAGATATCTTATCTTAATTTTCTCCCATCAGATAAGTTTAGCAATCGCCATAAGATATGCATTGACAAGGAGAGCATTTTCAATCACAGCAAATGGTCCTGAAGTCCTTTTGCTCGATTACCCTAGCCATCAGCGCCGCCTCCTGCCTCTTCTTGCAAAGACGTAAATTTGTGCATTTGCTTCAGAAGTTGGAAATAATTGGTTTGAGTGAAATTACACTTACTATTTCATGTATAAGTTCCCCCAGCATGCATTTGAGCTACGTGTATCTGATTTTGTTTTGCTACATATCCTTGTCCATTTGAGATTCAGTTTCCTTGTCAACTAGTCAGTGACAAGTTACAGTTACAAATTGTAATCCTGTATCTGATGCCCAATAGAGGCTTTTCAAAAAGCGTCCTTATCTTTCAAGCAATTTCCTACTAAGAGAGACTAATAATGATGGTAGATATGCTACCATAGTTCACTCCATACATTCATGATTAGGTAGTACGATTTCAGCTTGCTATTAGAATTCGGCTGCACTCAATGCTCGGTAGCTTTCTTGTACTTATGATTTGCAATTCACTGAGTTTTATCAGAAAAAATCATCTGCCATATGGATATTTTTATGCTTTTGTCAACGAGAATGAACAATATTGTTAGAAAATTGTTGTTCTGTGGTGCTGCAGGTATGCGATGAGCTTTGCTAGTAACTACTTGAAACTGTTGTACGTTAAGAGGAGTCCTCAACTGATCAAAACCATCCATGTAGTATCTAGTGCATTCAAGGCTACTCTGACTTGGCATAACATGCGAACTCTTCAGGTAGCCAAGATCATTATAGGTAATCATTTTCTGAAATGTTGATAAGCTTTCCTCTTATATTGTATTACATATGATTCAGGAATGCCGCGAAGCCTGTGGTGGGCAAGGATTGAAGACAGAAAATCGAATTGGCCAACTGAAAGGTGAATATGATGTGCAGTCTACTTTTGAGGGTGACAACAATGTTCTTATGCAACAGGTATGGTTAACTGATCGTTTTTCACAAATGGCAGCAACATACCAGATTGACAGTAATAGAAGAAATGTTAAATTAATATTTGAAACATATGTCGTTTACCAAGAACGGATCAAGTTATTGGTTTTATAGAGCTTTCAAAAAAATTTCTGTAGCTTCAGAATTTCATCAACACGTTTGATGCAGGTTAGCAAGGCTCTGCTGGCAGAGTATGTAGCAGCAAAAAAGAGGAATAAACCCTTCAAAGAGTTGGGGTTAGAACATATAAACAGATCATGCCCAGTTATTCCAGCTCAGCTTACCAGTTCAATGCTTAGGAGCACTCAATTTCAGGTAATGATGAAGTTTCTGCTTTGTACTTTTTCTTAGATAAGTCATTATGAAGCTTATTTGGATTACCGATGGTTTGTGACAGAATGATATCTTCTGTCTAAGAGAAAGAGATTTATTAAACCGCTTTGCTGCTGAAGTCTCGCAATACCAAGCGCAGGGGGAAAGTAAAGAGTCTGCATTTGTTGTGGTAAGAACACGATGCAGTGCCAGAGTCCCTCCTAACCAGCCCCTTTCCGAGGTTGGGTTCTCTCTCTGTTTCAGGCTCTATGTTAACTACATTTATCTTATTCCTGCAGAGTTATCAGGTTGCTGAAGATTTGGGCAAAGCCTTCTCGGACCGAGCAATTTTGCAGATTGCTATAGAAGCCGAGAATAATGTGACAGATGCCTCAATTAAGGTATGTGGAGACCATTTTCTTTCAAACTCTGTTAAGTAGTTGGTTTAATGGTTGAGGGTCTAACTCTTCCCTTGGAAGTCCTTAGCTCTAAGGTTCTGCCCCTCTTTCCCTTGAACACCTGGACCAAGCTCTGCAATGCAAACCACTCCCCTAACCCCAACCCCGACCCAGCTCAACCCCCAGAAAGAGACAAAATAATAATAATAATAATAATAATAATAATAATAATAATAAT